TGATAATTCATTCCATTCCATTATATTATGAGATACCACCATGACTATTGCTCTACCTTTGATTGGATGGTCATGTATTTGTGATCTAACTTGCACACCCGGAATGGTTAATAGTACTATTCCTTTTTGGGTTGCAGTGCAGTGAAACATTGTTGAGGTATAACAGTTAAATGGGCCTACATAAAGGTTTTCTAACTCGTATACTAATTGCTGAACTCTTTCCCTGTAGTATGGGTCCCTTTCATATGTTTTACTTAAGGCTCTTTTTGTATCCATACTTGAATATGCATATATATTATTTAAAGTTTACTTTATTTTATTTAATTTTCTTATTTAATAACATTTTATTTTTTTTTAATTTTGATTACTCATTGTTGTTTGTGCTGCGCAAATTTAAATTTTGTCCAAGTCATTGGCTCGGCTCATGTATCTTTTCTTTAAGCACTTATTGTGCAGCTTATATATGGTAATTTGTAAAAACAATTTGCGCACATTATGAAAAGTGTTTTTATTAATTCTAGTCACTATCATTTGACTTTACTTTTCTAATGACATTAGTAGTCGAAACCACCGACTAACGTCCACTAGTTCCATCTTGGGTATATGTTATAAGAAGATTTATATGTTATAAGGAGATTGGAAAGATTGTATTGGAAAATCTTTTGAACTTGTACTAACCGAATTATTGTTCATTCGTTTTTTCTTATTGTTGTTGGTGCATTTAATAAGAAAATTTAAATAAGTTTAATTTCACATTTACATTGATTGAATTAGTTTTTTTTTCATATTTAAATACATTTCTTTACGGTTCTTTTTTTAATTAATTGGTTTTGTTAGTTCTTTTTTACTGATTTCTACCTAATGTTTCGCATAGACTTACAGGCTAAGCTTCTTATTTGGCAGAAAGCGTTCCACTCAATATAACATAGTGTCGTTTATAACTATATTGCAACGCAGTACTTTAATAATGGAACGTCGTGCATGAAATAAAATAAAGTAAAAAATATATTCGTTATTGTTGTGCGCTCTTTGTAGCGAGGGCTGGTAACAGTTCATTTCTCTGCCATGGATGCTGGCTAATCGTAGTCGGGCGGGGAGAATAACACTCGGAGGGCTCGGACGCTAATATGCGAACTTTGGGTAACCGGCCGACCCCCCAGTTTTAAACAGTCTTATTGTTTTGAGCGAGCTATATCATGATAGACGTAGGCCTTCCTGCCTACTTAAGGGTCTAAAACATGAACACATCAACTACATATAAAAAACAAAAACCAGTGACGTTAGGAACTCCGCTGCGAGGGGGCGGGGCTAGCCATGGGACCACTGAGCGGCTTGAAGAGAAACTCTTTAGGGTCAACCTTTATACCAGCCGGTATACTGGTCCGGGAGCGTCTCACTCGACGGAGTTCAAAAGCTTTTTCAAGAATAGGAGGAGAGCAGCCTGCATTTTGATGAGGGCGGATCCATCGGCGGAAGACGTGCAAGAGCACGTCTTTTAATAGGCGAAGGCGGAAAGAAGACTGGAGTCGAATGATAGCCACGCTTGGGGAGGTCTACCCTGGTACAAAGATGAAGGCGGTTGACTGGAACTGAAAAGTCGGTCGACCTTAACACCATCCTGGCGATGCTAAAGATGTGTAGCCCGACACTTCCCTCGGCAGACTGGAAAATCGCCAAGATGGAGGGTGCGGTGGGACTACTAGGTTATTTTCACGCTAAATAAGGACACTAAGAGGATCCTGAGGGAAACAGGACACTGTATTGAGTTCAGTGTCTTCGAGCATGGAGAGCCCTTGAAAAACACTCCTTTTCGGACCATCAATACATAGAATTAGTGATCAGTTTCGAAAACTTCACTCAGCTAGCCGTACGCAATCCTAGGATGGCAAAGTGGGAGCTTTACAAGAGGAAAACAAGATGAATCCTTGGGGGTACCTCCAACAAGGGAAGTTTACAACAGGGAAGATCTGAAAGCCATGGTGGGCACGATAACAGCGGCTTGTACAAAGGCATTCAATAGGGTTTGTCCCAAAAGTAGATTGGGCAGTAGCAAGTCAAAGAAAACACCATGGTGGTCATCAACTCTTGCACCATTTAAAACTAAAGCCCGTAAAGCCTTTAACTTCACTAGTAAAGCAAGCGGAGTATTTTGGGTGACGTATAAAGCGGACCTCTAGCAGTACAACAAGGAACTGCGTAGGGCAAAGAGGAATGCCTGGACCAGGTCCTGCACGAGCATTCAGGGGACCTCGGAGGCTTCCCGCCTCAGGAAGGTCCTCGCAACCCCTGCACCTTATGTAGGATACATTAAAACCTTGGATGGTAGCTGGACAACGTCCAGCAAGGAAACCCCAAAAGCTCTCACAAACGCATATGGGTGTTCTTAGGAGAAAACAATCCAGGAAACGCGGAGCCAGGAGGACTCGAGTGAGCTTGAATACCTCTTAAGCGAGAAACAGTTCCAAGCCCTTTAAATCTCCTGGCCCAGATGGCATCTTCTCGGCTTAATTAACCAAAACCGGGTCTAATCTGTGGTTATGGATCAGGAAAATCTTCACAGCAATGTTCAGGTCAAGTATCGTGCCAGAGACGTGGGTGCGAACGAAGGTTGTCTTCTACCCAAACTGCTCTCCTAAGGACTTCAAACCAATAAGTCTGTCGTAAGACAATTGAGAGGCCTCAAAATTCACGCATATAGGAAGGGCGAATCCGCGGTTCACTACGACAAGGATCACTACGACAAGGAATACGCGCTTATTAATTTTCTAGACATAGAATCCGTGCACCTGATAAAGCAGATCCTGGTAAACAGGACTGTTGAGGCGACACTGGGAGGAGGGTCTATTCAGAGATTTATCAGGAGGTGTACTCTCCCCCTTTTCTGGAACGTGGCGGTTAACAACCTACTTCGACATTTGGAGGGTAGTGGATGCATAGTTATTGCTTATACGGATGATGTAGCATTTGCGACTCTTTGCGACCGCATGACTGTGTGACTTTGTGACGGATGAGGGTTCTCTCAACATGGGAAGAAAAGAAACGCGCTAGCAGTTAATCCATCCAAGACCAAATGTCTCCAAAAATAGTAAGGTGGCCATACACGACGGTTATCAGACCAATCCTGTTTTACGGAGGTTTGCGGGCAGTCTTCGTACTACACCAACTTACGCTCTAGATTTCATCCTCGATCCTCGGGGTCAAGCTTTCCACACTATCGGGAATAAGGCTACGTGCGGCGTCTATATAGAAAAACTAACTAAGGACACATACACAAGTTTGACTTGGTTGGTCACACGTGCGACGACGATGATGTAACCCACACCTGACACCAAAACCAACAGACTATACGCAAACCATGGCAAGTCTGAATTCCCTGGTTAAAAAACAAACCAAAAAACCAAATTAAGCCCCCTTGAAGGTAGGCAGAATAGCCTCTCTTCAATTGGCAAGTAGAACCCGGTTTCCCTGTACTCACTTCAAGGGCTCCCTGGCCACTTATAAAAAAAGCCATCCACAAACCGAAATGCTCCTCATGAAACTCTTTCTACTCGAACATTAAAGACACAGCTTAAGCTGCGAGACTTTGGAAAATCCTATCCAAATCAGCCACAATACTAGGCTATCTTAAAAAAAAAGTTGAATCCTCGCCCAGCACAAATGAGGAATCTCTTGCAATGCTACCGGAGACGCACTTCCCTGGATGCTCTCTCTTGAAACTTACACTTCAACTTTGACCAAAAACTTTACACTGGGCATTACACAGCTTCAAGTTAGTTCTCTTCACCAGATAATAGAAAATCTTTCTCCTTATCCCTTCAATATTAAGCAACCAGAGGCTCTTCTTTAGCAAAAGCGCAAAGTACCTACGGGTGGTTCTAGACAGATAGCCGGAACTTAAACATAAACGAAAGATCGAAGAAAACGGCGACTGCCCTCTTCATCTGCAAAAAAGCCTTTCCTTAACATAGTTCGATGGACCTTCACTGCCATAGTTAGACTCATAATGCTATATGGTGTTCTGGTATGGTAGCCAGCCCTCTCTAAGAAAAAGACACAGAGAACTAATTACCAATCCAGAACTAGCTGGTAGTAGCAGGCGAAACTGGCGGAAATTCGATTAAGAGAAAAAGAATTAAGAAGAGAATTCGATTAAGGACATCGAGGTCTCCTTCCGACTTCCTGATCCCTGCGTCATCTTCCAGGCTGAGGTGATGGCAATTAGGAAAACACAAAAAAACATCAAGGGGTTTAAAGAAACAGGGTTTTCGTTGTAAAAGTTTACTGCTCAGATTAAAAGATCAAATTGGCCTGAAAACATTTTCCAGACCCCAAAGACCGCAATGGTAATAGAAAATTCTTGATTTTTCAAAATTCTTGGTTTTTTGATCCAAATTTGCATCGAAGGTACACCTCGCTAATGTTGAGTGGTCTTTACGATTTGGAGACTCAACGTAGGAAAGTACTCAACGATTATAATCCTCACTTTCAAGTTCTTCCAACTAAAGACTTAGCACTGCATCTTGTAGCATTGCAATGGTAGGTCCCGAAGTCTGAATCAGAATTTAAAAAGGGTTTGACTGCGGTTTACCAGCATTAGCCCTTAATATAATGGGCTTGATAAAATTTATAATCAACGCTTAGCAAAGTTAAATTTACTGAAAGGGCGCAGAACTGAAAGTGAGCGCCGATAAAAAGTGCAACAATTCACGTCATAAGATATGCCAAAAGTTACACTGCTTGATAAGTGCCAAACTTGATTTGTGCTGCCCTATTTATATGCGGCTGAAACACCGTACATCCCTTTTCCAATGTTATTCACCGACTGGCTTGCCAGTCAATCACTGGCAGGATAACTGAATTTTTTTTCTGAGAGTAAAAAAATTGTTTTTAATAATATTTAATTAAATGTGGGCATATCCCCATTTTTACATTTTCGTCATACAAAGTGTAAATCTAAAATTTTTAATAAAACTAAAATTCTTATTTGTCTTTTCTTTCAGTCTCTAGAAAGCACGAGGCGTATGCTTGCTCTTTGCGAGGAGGTAAGAAAATTAGTTTTATTGTATGCACGAAAGTTATGCTGAAATAACTTACTTTACTATACTTTACGTAATAATAAAAATTTTATATAAAAATTATGCTTTTTTTTCCAAAAACATTCAACACATTTAAATGATTTACATCTCTGACTTTAAATGATACCATTTTAGTTGCAGTTATTTTAATTTTACTTCGGAAATTTCAAAAGCGTCTGCCAATATTTTTAATTTTAAAAAGCTTTTAATTAAATTAAAATTTCTTAAGGTTGGGAACCTCAAATGGTTTAGTTTGAAAGAGATCGTATAATAAAAATACAGCCCCATGGATAGGGTCACCGTATAGTGAAAGGGCTATTTTTAATAAAAAACCTACAGACGGATGTTTGGTTCATGAATTTCAAAATTCAAATTTGTTTATCATATTAGAAAGACTTACATATAAAGTCTAAACTCAAAATTAGTTTTAACTAAAATTCGGGAACGTAAATTACGTGGAAGTTCCTGAAAGACCAAGAAACTTATTTGTATATATTTTGATATACAAATATACAAATATTATTTGTATATGTGTAAATAAATATACAAGTATATAAATATTTGTACAAATACAAAATATTTGTATATACAATATATATGTACAAATATTCGTATATTCCGGCCTATAACTACAACCTAGACTACATGCAAAAAAAAGAAGGGCGTGTGCAACGTTTTAAGCTTTAAAACTTAAGAGACTTATTCGCGTAGAATCATACAGGTGAGCCTATGTACATAGAGACAAAAAACGTGTATTGACTAAGGAGGTGATCCTGATCAAGAATTAATATACCTTACAGGGTCGGAGATTACTGCGACACATACTTTTGATTAAAATTGTAATACCCTCTGCAAGTGTATACACATTTACATTGATTGTATGGGTACGGTTTCGCTTTGAGGCAATTGGAAGTGTTTTATACTCGAAGAATGGGGAAAAAATTTAAAAATGGCTACCCAAATGTTCGCTACGGCAGATAAAGGTCACCAGTGGTGATTCGGTGCCGACCACTGGACTAGAGTTCAAAAAGATTGGTATACAGTATGTGTATGTATATATAGTATATACGACGAGTCCAACCTAGTCCAATCATAAGGTGTGGTTCATTTTGTAAGGTTTTTCATTCTTTTTCGAATGCATACTGTCCGAAAGTGCATTCAGTGCGCGCTTTTTTTAATATTTTAAATTTAAAAGCTTATTTTGAGATGAATAATACTAGTTTTTTTGACTCGTGGTTGCCAGAGTGTAATATTTTTACCATTTCGTAAAGTGGGGAGCAAGACACAAATAAAGGTTATACTAAACATGGTGTTAAAGAAAGTTTAGACGGCAAGGAAAAGTAAATGTTTTAATATGCCACAATACATCTTTTAAATTATTTTTCTTATTGAAATTTTTTTTTATAAGTCGTTATTTTCCTAACCTATTAAATAAACTATTTAGGCTTACCAAATGTTTGTTTTAAAAAAATTATTAAGAATCAAAATAGTACACACTTAGAGTAAAAACACTTTAGAGTAGAAAAAAGTTATCACGATTATTTTCTTTCTGTCAAAAATGATACCATTTCTTGGAAGTTGTACCGAAAAAATGGCGTCAAATTCCGAAAAACACGACATAAATTCAAAAATGTCATTTTTTTGCGTTAAAATTTTTTTTTTTTGTTGAAATAAATTAAAGATCTATTTTTTTCAAAAGCAACAAAATTTACCTATTGAAAAACGTAAACAATTTTTAAATCGATTTAAAATTACGTGCTTAGGAATTTTTAAGAGCAAAAAAAGTCCCGAAAAACCGTTTTTTCTAAATAAATCAAGATTTTGAGGGTGTTAGAAAAATTTTAAATACGGTTTTATACTATATTCGACCTAATAAACAATTCCTACTAGGTCTCTTCAAAAGTTCCTCCAAATTTTCTTTTTTTGTCGCACTGTGTTATGTCAAACGTCTTTTAGAGAACATGGTTACTGTGGTTGCATTTTTCCATTGTGTAACCTAACTTTTATGTTAATAGTTTGATAAATCCATACGGAGAGCATAAGTTACAACGCGGTAAAAAATAATACCTTAAGTGTAAACGCAAGATGTAAAATGTTTGTAAGTCACTAGTAAAATACCTTGCCTTTTATATGCAGGCCCTTCAGCTGAGCAAGAAGAGAGCAAGGCAAAAGTGAGAGAATATTGGTGAGAAAATCGTTTTGCTGCACTGAACGCCGACCCGCTACGATTAGCGGGTGGGTTTAAAATTTTTAGGTTGTAAAAAAATGTATATTTACTAAAACTGTATATTTTATACTCGTAGAGTACCAAGATAAGAAAACCCCAATGCAACTGGTATACCCATTAGTAATGCAACCATTATACAACAGGTATACCCGGACATACCTATCCATTCACTTATAAACTACTGTGGAAATAATTCAAATCAGTTAGACACAAACCCAGGCATAAACGGTGAAATAAACCATTCGCACGGCTTTATCGACGACCGTAGACATAAACATCAAACCCCTTTTTCAAAATCATAAACAAGTACGCAATTTGGGAACCTGTATGTCAGCATAAAATTCTGTCCAATCAAAATTTGCTAAACCAAAGTCCATTTTCGCTGCTGGCGTCGCTGTCACCGATCAAAGCTATAGTTACAAGAATATTGAAATAACAAAATGTTTAAAATAATAAAGTTTTCAATTTGCAATCCAACTGTTATAAAACTCATTTGTTTACATAAATGATCAATATTATAAAACTCATTCCTGATAATTAAACAAATAAAATTATAAAATTAAAATATTAATTTTAATTTTATAGAACTATCACTGGGGCACCTTAATATGTTCGCAACGTAAACATTCACAGGCATCGGGGTCTCTCGCAGTGAAAGACGAAATCCAAAAGCAAAAAGTGTCTCACAAAGAAAAACTGTCTTCGACCCCAAATTTTCTCGCTCGGGGATTGACTCGGGTTTCCAGCGGATCCCGCATGCTCTCAACCCAGCAATCGATTTTTAGGGCCGTATAACTCTGTATAAGTCAATATGACTGAGTTAGTTGAGTTACATATTTAAGATTTGATACACCTCTTGTTAGACCTGAAAAGAGAAGATTCAAGAAATAATAGTGAATAAAATTGATTAAACTACAATACTAATATATGAAACGTAACAAGAAAGGAAAGCTGACTTCGGGCTGAGCCGACGTTGATATACCCTTGCAGTTAAAACCAGATATATATCGCAAACTTCGGATATAGTTGACCGATATAGTTGTCCCAAGCTTCTATCTTCAAAAATACGAAAGTTGATATTTCTACCAAATACCATTTCCGATCGTTCAGTTATATGGCAGCTATAGGATCCTATAGTCGGCCGATCCTAATTTGGTAGGTTGGATCAACTGACCAAATATAGAATCTGTACTAAGTTTCAGCTTTCTATCTTCAAAAACACGAAAGTTGGGTCATTTTCGATCGTTCGATGTCGTAATGTTTTGCCAAAAATAGCTCTCGTAAGAAATTTCAACTCTCAAACTCTAAAAACACCTAAGTTATACCATTTATCGGTCGTTCCCACTTATATACTGCGTGCAAATTAAAGAAGGGTGTGTGCAAAGTTTCAAGTCGATAGCTTTTAAACTGAGAGACTAGTTTGCGTAGAAACAGACAGACGGACAAACAGACAGACGGACATGCTCATATCAACTCAGAAGGTGATCCTGATCAAGAATATATATACTTTATAGGGAGATGGCTCCTTCACTGCGTTGCACACTTTTGACCAAATGGATATTACCCTCTGCAAGGGTATAAAAATGAGGCGTAAAAATGATGACGTGTTTGATATAGGCATGTCTGTGTGTTCTTTTTTCTGTCTGATTCTACTCTCTCAATGGACACACTCCGTTCTGTCCTCAACACGCAGTATATAAGTCGGACTGGCCTGAATTATCCGACTATATCCTATTGGTGCCATACATCTGAACGATCGGAATGACATTTTAATATTTTTGAAGATATAAGCTTGGAACGTTTTTTTTTTTAATTTTTTATTCAAAAAAATTAGTTTTCTCATAATTATTATAAGAATTGCCCAACAATATTTGATATTTGAGATTTATGTTGATTTTTGCGGTGAAATTAATTGCTTCCAAGCTTCAACTTTTTTTTTGCAAAATTTCTCCTTGCTAATCACCGTTCTGCTATCACTAGATTGTTGGAATTTTCTCCCACTGTCAATCGTGGATTTTTGATCCGTCTGCAAACAGATGTAATTTACACAGATTACCAAAGCTTTTGACTTCGTGAATCATAGCCTTCTCCTATAAAAACTATCTTTTAGCAAAGCTGTTCCATTTAGCTCACCGCACGCAGAGAGTTATAAAAAAACATCAAATCCAAATCGATCCAATATGTTAAATTATTTTTTTCTTTTCCGATCATTTTGTGAAAAGATACCGGCAATTAACCATGATGAACTGTATTCATGTTCTTCCAAAAATCTAGTTGTACCAAACTGCTCAAAAATGTAAGCTTATGACTTTTCATCGCTGCGTACCCCATATGGTTTCGTCCCCTTTTGGGAATCATATCATGGATCGTGTGAAATCAATAAATGATTGTGGGGTCTTATTTAATCACAAGTTATCATTTAATGACCACATTTCTACAGGAATGTTAGCCCTCATTAAACAAAGGTCTAAGGAGTTTGATGAAATGTTTCAAATATTTTTTTGAATGGTTTCTTACTTGTCTCACTTCCTCTTAAGCGAACGGTCGTGTTTTTTTTTGTGGGCACTGCGTTAATGATAAATATTACCGTAAACCGGTGTTACTTCTGATCGATACCAGAAATGGTTTCGATCAGAAGTTTCCAAGCGTGGCAAATAAGATTCGCAGTTTCCGTAAAGCTGACTTTCACAAACATAATAGCCTCATCGATACATTTGATTGGTCCGATATTCTACCATGC